CGGAAGGAAGGAAGGAAGGAAGGAAGGAAGGGGAGGGATGAGGAGAAGGAAGGAAGGAAAGAGAAGGGAGAGAAGGAGGGAGGGAGGAAGGAAGAGATGATGGATAGAAGGGAGGGAGGGAGGGAGAGAGAGAGAGAGAGAGAGAAAGGAATACAGTATATGAATAAACAGGAGCACAGCTAACTGGACACATACCAGATTCACCTAGATTCCCGTAACAAAACCTATTGTAAAATAACCTCACAGGAGACTACTGTATTACAATCCCCATAAATTCAAGGATTGCCCAACCTTGGCCAGAAGCCATGTTTCCATTTCAGTCTTGGTTAAGAAGGCCCAGCATCTAACCCTCACAGAAGGAAGCAGGGCCTTGGAAAGGAGGTTTATTAAGGGTGATGGATGGGGAGGGCAGGCAGGTGAGAACGATGCCTCCTCCTGACTCTCTCTGATCCCCGTTCTCCTGTTGCCATCCCGCTTTGCCCTTCCTGGTCCTCGTTCCCAACATTTTGGGTGTCCGAATCCGCAACGCTGAACTCGGATCGTCTTTGCGTTCTCCAAGTTCAGGCGGGGGCTTCTTTGGGGCAGGTGGGCGGCTGCCATCACAAAGCTTCAGGGACAGCGGATTCACATCAATTCGGAGGCAGTTCGTCCACAAATATCAGCCGCCACCCGTCCTTGGGTTTATCCCAAGTGCATTCAGTGGAACTGCTATGGGTGTCTTCTTTTGTGGAGATCGACAAGTGGCCACCCCACCCACCTCATACCATGCGAGGTGACCATGTCTAATGCCCAGTCTCTTTCCTCTTCCACCTCTAGACAAACAGCCAACCCAATGGTCATTCCAGGACCAACATCTGACCTCCTACTTTATACCCATGAATCTTTGCACGGCAGGTGCCCACCTCCACCAACTTCACCACGTTTGGGTGGTCAAGCTTTTTCAAGATGGCGATCTCTTGGTAGACCTGCTCAATGGGCCCTTTGGGTTGGCAGAAGCCTTCGGGAGGGGGCTTGGCACCCCGAGGGGGCGGCCGGCCTGTTCAAGAGAATACAGAAAGAAAGGAGAGGATGAAACTTTACTGTTACAAAGGTCAAAACCAACTTCTAAGGCAGGAGAGAGGAAAGAGCCATCTCAGCCCAAGATCTGAGAGAGAGATGCTGCCAGCCAGAGTCGACCATACTGGGCCGGATGGGTGAAAAGACTCTTACCTAGTAGGATGCCCCTTCTAAACATGAAACGAAACCAGTCCACCTTTTCTGGCTCCCCACCGAGGGTTTGTCTGTTCACTCATTTGAAATTCCTCCCCATCATCGTTCGTTAGGACTAACTCAAACGAGTCGGATGCCTGGAGTGTACGTGTGTACAATTGGCAACCTTCCCTATGAGTTAAATTGTATATAGTGGTGCCTCGCTAGACGATGATAATCCCTTCCACTGAAATTGCTGTTTAGCGAAATCATTGTCTAGCAAAAAGTATTTCCCCATTGGAATGCATTGAAACCTGTTTAATGCGTTCCAATGGGGAAGAATCGTTGTTGTCTAGCGAAGATCAACCATAGGAAAGCCGTTTTGCGAACCGGCGATCAGCTGTTTAAACCGCTGTCTTGCAAAGCTTAGGTCCCAAAAACAGTTGTTTTGCGAGCACAGAGGGAGCTGTCAAAATCGTTGTCTAGCGAAGATCAGTTTGCGAAGCAGGGACCAAACATTGTCCAGTGAAATTCCCCCATAGGAATCACTGTTTTGCGAATCCCTATAGCGATTGCAAAAAGCCAATGTCTAGCGAAAAAACTGTCATGCGAGGTAACTGTCTAGCGAGGCACCACTGTATTGGCCTGACCCATAAGACTGGAAATCACATGAGCGCCTTTCGCTGTCTTGAACACGAAGAATATAAAAGCAATTGACTAAGTCACTGTTTGACGCTCTTTTCCGACAACCAGAATCTGCTGCCTGGGGCAGCTGCTTCCTTCTGCCCAATGTGCGGGACAAGCCTTGGCCGTCCGCCCACCAGCCCACCTGGGCAGCCTGGCTGGGGGGGGTGTTCCCTGTCCTCCACTCCAAACCCTTCGGAAAGTCTCCTTCTCACTTACGTGGGAATCCCGCTTGCCTCATCAGCTTCTTTTTAGAAAGCACTTTCATTGCCTGCGAGACAAAAGGAGCATAAACGTGATGAGCCAGGGTGCAGGGCGGGGTCAGAATTAAAAGCGCCAAGTTGCTGCCACGTTGGCTCTGAGACTTAGCCAAACAAAATCAATTAAACACACAGACACACACACACACACACACACAGACACAAATAGATGGCCTTGGCATTGCTAACAGAAGAGAACTAAACTCTTTCTTCCTTGTGGGAAGGAGGAACCACAATTCTGACAACAGAAGGCATACTTAAAAAGTTAGATCTCCACTTTGCTACTTTTCAAAGCCGCCGTTAAGAACTTTTATTTGTAAAAGGGGGGAAAAGACAGGAGGAGAGACAATAAGCCGCTGGCTTATTTTAGTTGTTTTGCTGTTCTCTTATTGTCATTATCGTTCCCCGTTTATTTTTATTTTTTCAGATTTATAGTGCAACCTGCCACGGAAAGGTTTTCACACTGAAGGGCAAGGTGTGTGTTCAAATAGACAAATATATGATGAGGCACAACCTGGGACTCTGTAACCCATAACCGTACAGTTAAACTATTCAAAACTGACTTCAAGAATTGAATCACCAGGATGCTGAATTGCCATAGTGTCTGAATGTATGCTGTTATGTGGGGTCTTGTGGGGTTTTAGATTTTAACCTATATAATGCCCAGAGCTGTAGTTACACCAATTAGGGCAGTGTATGAACTGCTGGATAGCTCAGTGGTTCAGACAGGTTGGGAGTTCGATTCCCCACTGGGCCTTCTTAAGAGGTGCTGGACTGGATGATCCAGAGGTTCCCTTCCAGCCTCTACAGTTCCAAAATTATGACTAGAAATATTATGATCAATCAATCAATCAATCAATCAATCAATCAATCAATCAATCAATCAATCAAAGAAATACCGTATTTTTCTGTGTATAAGACGTTCCCATGTATAAGACCCCCCCTTTTCTAACTTAAAGTAAAGAAACCTAAGTGGGGCTTAGCAAATGTAGGGGGGAAGGGATCAAAGCACTGCAGGATCGCTTTGATCCCTGCTTTCCCCTCCACTTGTGTTTGTTCCCTCCTCAGCTTAATTCTGTGTATAAGACAACCCTCAATTTTTAGTCTAAAGATTTTAGACAAAAGTATAGTCTTATACATGGAAAAATACGGTAGATATACTGAGGGTTTCTCCAGTGCTACATCTAGTTTGTTGCTGCACAGGATCAGAGCCCAGCTCTCTCCATTATCTTCACCCAGCAGTGTAATCCTCCTCGCCCTCCTCCTCTTGATCGAAAAAACTGTCATGCTTCCCACTGCTACTACCTGGTCCAACACACCGTGGCCCCGAATCTGTTACTCACATAGTAGGTGTTGTCGTTCTCATTGTAGGCCAGCTTCACAACTCCATAGGAGCCCTGTGGAGACGGGATGGGCGTGTGTGAAATGAGCGAAAATAACCGACGGGGCCAAAATGGCCCACGGCCGTTTTGTTGACCGCCTGCCGCTGACGGTGTCAAGAAATTTCTGTATCCGAAGGCCACGAGGATACAAACCTAACGACCAGCCTGGGACTTCCGTTTCCATGGAGGCATCATCACAACTCCAGCTTCAACACACCAGCGTCAAGCTCACCATGTTAAATACCTACGTTGTATAAGCTTACCTTCCCAATTTCGTCTTTCAGGGTATATTGATTGAGCTGCACACAGTCCTAGAAAATGAGAGAAAGTTTGGGGCACAGATTATAAACGTAGGTTAGGTTTTAAGTGACCACAGAACCACCCCGTCAGAAGCGGATTCAAGTGCGCCAACAGGAAAACGGCAGAAACATGCCCGGATAGTAAACCATAGTCTTGGGAAATAAAACATTAGCTCCTATCATCGTATTTTATAGCCACTTGTGGGTAAAGTAAACCATCCTCAGCTGTGAACGATAGCTTCGGAGTTTTATGAGCAGAAAGCGAAGGAGATGATGGCAGGACACTACAGGTGTAACAGTGAAAGAAATGGGATTAAACAAGCAGTAAAAGTCAAGTCTTCTTTATCAGCGTCAGACGGGGCAGCCCCGTTAATGGGGAGGAAGCAACTGGTTTTATGATGTTTTAAGTTTTATGGCCTATTCTCCGCTCAAAACGGAACTTGGACACGGATCAGAAACGAAGAGTCCTCTGAGGGTTCCCGACTCCCGTGTTTTTTTTTTCTGCTATGACACAGCTCTCCGTTATTCATAAACATGTTTAATCCATTGAATCCGTTCAATTACATGTGAGTAACAGGAGCTTGAAATAAATCAGCAAAAAGGGGCAATCGGATTCCGGAGAAAGGAGCTATCCCATAATAGAGGCTAAAAGGATCTCTCTGTCTATCTGAGCGCCATGAATAAACTGAATTTCAACACCCACAAGCCTGTCTGAAGCACCCAGAATAAGATACGTAAATTCAAGCATTTGGCGAGACGTGTCCAACATGGGTCTATCATACGATGCACACTTACAGTAAGTCCCCCCACATCTGCGGAATCAGTATCCACAGATTCACTTAACTGCTGCCTGAGAATACTAAATTTTAAAAAATCCCAGAAATACACATTTACAGTGGTGCCTTACATAACGAGCACACCGTTTAACGACAAATCCGCATAGCGATCTATTTTTTGAGATCGCTAATGAGATCGCATTGCGATGTTTTAATGGGTAAAACATCGCATTGCAATGATCAGTAAGCGTTTCGCTTACCAATCTTCGCATTGCAATGTTTCTAAAACAGCTGATCGGCGGTTCCAGAATGGCCACCGGGTGCCCAAAATGGCCGCCACAACCATTTTCGCACGATTTCCTCGCTGACCGAGGCGGCAAAAATGGCGGCGCTATGGAGGATCTTTGCATAACGGTGAGTTTTCACCCCACAGGTACACATTAAACGAAGTTTAATGCGTTTCTATGGGGTTTTCCCGCCCGCATTGCGATGTGTCCGGATAGCGACGATTAATCTGGAACGGATTAACGTCACTGTGCGGGGCACCACTGTATATGTATTTCCACTGTGTATTTACCAGAACTGGCCACTAAAGGGAGCTAGAAACCAATGTTCGTATAGTGTCCCCTACTTCCGAGTTTTGTAGCATCCACGGGACGGGGGTGGGGCTTGGTGCCAAGGAATACTGTGCTCCAACTGTACGCATTGATTTTGGGATTGAAAATATTCACACACGGATTTCAGCAAGCTTCATGTTTCATGCACTCGATGCGTTAAATGTTCACTTCCCATAGAAGGATGTGCGGAAAAGCAAGTCATCTAATCAGGACACCTGAATAGTTTAACTGAGATGCCCAGTCGAACCATCTTGGGGGGGGGTGTTACCCAGATCAGCCGCCTTTTCAAGCTACAGCGTCTCCAATGAGACATTAGGAGCCTCTGTGAAATCACCTCTTCTTTCAATGCCTGCTTCCCGGCCCCAAACCTGAACAGAGACAAGTCTAAAAGAGAATGATAGAGGGTAGGGTGCCTGAGAAAACGGTATCCGGTGGGTTATTTCAACCCCCCCAAAAAACTGAAAAAACAAAAACACCAATTTTCAAGCTCTGATCAAAGTAGATCATTTAAAAAAAAAAAGATCACTGTTCCAAATTCTGGATAATTCTGTAGCCAAAGGCGTTCTTTCTCCTCACGCCCCACCCGCCAGCAGATTTTTCTCCTTCCCTTCACACCCCAATTTCCCATCTGCTGAGTAAAGCAGAGAGCTTTCACGCCAGAAGCCGAGCGGCAGCATTAGCATAAGTGCCTCTTGCTTTCTAATACATAATTGAGAAAGCGCGGGGGCGGACGCCGCGGTACCACCCACCTCTGTTTTTAATGAGCCTCTGTCGTTACAGATCTTGTGATTCCCACCCGGGAAGAGAGGGATCTGTTTCCTCTCCATTTATATTTCCTTCCCCTTCTTTTCCACCACGACCCACCTCTCCGTCCCCAGGCCGGCCCCATCTCTTCCCCTAAAACAGAAACAAGTCAAGAGGGGTTCGTTAAACCCGAAGGTCCAGGTTGGCACCGCCGAACCCTTCGGGCAAACGAAGCCACCCGTGAGCAAGCCACGGAAACAGGGGAAGAGCTGCCCGTCCATCAAAACATCAAAACAAACAAATAAACAAACTCCTTGAAAGGTTGTCGCACCCTATCCCATTTCCCCCCTTTTAGATCACTCAAGGGTAGGGGAACATATGGCTCGGGACCAGGGTTGAGTTTTTTTGGCTCCCACCTGCAACGCCAAAACAAACAAATAAACAAACAAACTCCTCGCAGGGTTGTCGCACCCCATCCCATTTCCCTCCTTTTAGATCACTCAAGGATAGGGGAACGTATGGCTCGGGACTCGGGTTGATTTTTTGCTCCCACCTGCAACGGCAGGTTGAAAAAAGAAAAAACAAAAACCCACTACCCCCAAATGCCCCCTTTGGACTCCCTGAAGCATTCAGCCTTAGGTGATTTTGTAATGAAACCGGGTACACAGTGGAATTTTATGCCACACACCTTTGTTTCGTGGAAGTGTTCAAGAGTGCCTGTGATCTGAAAACAGGACCGCCAGGGAAGGACCATGAGCGATCTTGTTGGATTTGCAGAAACACACACACAAATACACACAGACACCATATCCACAGAGGATTGGCTTCAAGCTCCCCCGTGGATACTGAAAAATGTGGATTATAGCAAACGCTATTATAATAGCACACATAATACATTGCATGGTCCCTGGCTCCCCCTAGTGGCCAGTTCTCATAACTTTATGGTCAGAAATATATATTTTTAAATATCTTTTTTAATATTTTCAAACCATGGATAAGTGAATTGGCAGATACTGGTCCCGCGGATAAGGGCCCCCCCACTGTATATAATAAAATTGCTACTTACCTGAAGCCCTGTGATAGATACTCTGTGTGATTCTATGGTTGGTCTGCGGGGCAAACGGGGTGACGAGTGAGGAGACGTGACAGGGGAATAAGGGAGAGATGGGTAAATGTAACGTCCGTTGATGCCCGCGTTTGCGCCAGGCGACTGGACAGACTGAGACCTTTCCTGGAGGGAAAGCTTGCGACTCGAAAGGTTCAGTTTGATTCGGGGTTCCCTCGTCTCTCTCGGGGAAGCGTCCGGAGGCTCTTCGAGGAAACCTTTTTGTCCGGATTCGAGGGCTACCGGCAGATCCTCGCAGGCTTCCATGGGCTCCTCCTGACCCATATCCTCCGGCGGGACCTCGTCAGGTCCGGAAGGCGCGTCGCACGCCGACACCGTGACGAAGGAATCCATCCTGCCGAAGCAGTGCAGGTTCAGGGCCGGCAAGCCGTCCGGGGGGGCTTCCTGCCACTTGCCAAAGGGCTTGTCCTCGTAAAGAAGGAGACTTTTGGCCACAGACCCGCGAGAGACGCATGTTGTCATGATGGGCCGGCCGGCTTCATCCCCATGGTGCAGCGGTCCGCTCTGCCCAACCTGGTGCAAGAACAGAGGGGAAAAAAACATTAAAGCGTTGGATCCGTTCACCATTTTTCATGCAGGCTTCATCCCCATGGTGCAGCGGTCCGCTTTGCCCAACCTGGTGCAAGAACAGAGGGGGGAAAAACATTATAAAGCGTTGGTTCCGTTCACCATTTTTCGTGCGGCATTTGTTTGATCCTTTTCAACCATTGGCACACATACTGTTTTTAGCTTTTTAAATACAGTATTGTCTTTTAACAGTCCGAGCTTCCTCGGGCCCTTGTTAAGGAGAAACATGGCACAAAAATAATTTAAATAAATATGTTTACGACACTGTTCCTTCTTCAGGAAATCGCAGCAGTTTGAAGATTGATGTGTTTTGGAAACAGGGTAACTGTAAGCTTTCTCGGTGGGACCAGAGTCGCTGCTATCTGTCCGGTGGACAGTGACACTTTCAGGCACCTCATCGTACGCTTCGTATAACTGTGTTTTAGCAAGGGTGGATTGTGTAGGTTAACAAAAAGGGAACCCACAGGAACATTTTTTTGTTACTCTTCCCATTTAGGAAGGCCAGAAACAGCACAGCTAGCAGAAAAGACTTAACCGGTTTCGTTACCGGTTAGAGATTTTAAAAATCTAACGCACGTGCATTAATGTCAACCCAGGAAAAGTCTGTTTCCATTTAATGTTGCATTGCATTCGTGTCTGAAAACCCCTCGGGCCAACGAAGGCATTAAAAAGTGGGTTGATTGCCATTCCGGGAAAGTACCTTGTTTTGATCCTGTCTCCTTGGAAAAGGGTTCTTTACTGGGTTTCATCACCAGCTGTTCTGTGACACAGTTCCTAGCGATGCATCCCGTAGCAAAACCTCCAGTCTCTTTGACAAATATTTACATTTATTTAAAATATTTTTACATCATCTTTCTCCTTAAAAGGACCCGATGTGGACGTGCAGTTTTGCTCAAAGGCCGCCCCAGCCTCCCTTTAAAGCTGAAACGAACTCATCCCCTTAAGCAGATGCCTCGAGAAAACAACTATGACCGATCGCTTTTCCTTGCAACAGCTTTTTGGAACCGAAGATGACAATAGGAATAAAAGAAAGGCAATGATCGGGGCCAAAAAAACCCTCCAGATGTCAAAACTGGCCATGCCCACACGCGTCATACCTTCCAATGATGACTCTTTAACAGGCAGAGTTTATTTAAAATGCCACTCCGTGTGCCAAAGGACTTGGATGCCTCCGTCCTGGGCTCATGCGTTTCCCTTCCTCGGGTCGTGAAGCAGGCGTTTCCAAAGTTTAGAAGTTTCCAGTGTCACTGTGACTAAATGGTTCCTGTATGCATTCCTTCTTCCAGAGCTGGCGGAACGGGAGGATGAGATTTTCCAGAAGCTTTCTGCCAATTGAAAAAAAATAAAAATAAAGAAAATCTCACGCTCTGCGATTCCGCGCCCCTCCATTTCCTATGTTAACGGGAATAAATTACTGGGATTGAACTAGGGTGTACCCCCATGTGTCTTGTTGCTTTCCACACTTTGGAATGTACAACTTTGTGCGTTTGCACACACACATTGTAAAACTCGTTATATTGCAGCGTCCCCTGCACTAGTAGACACAAAACAGAAGTATGTGAATAAGCAATGTTATGTTAGGATCCACCACCCCCACCATCCCAAATTAAAGAATGTGCTACGGGGCAAATACCTGATCAGACCCTTTCAGTGTAGAAGGAAATCTAGATTGAAAGGCTAGAGCATTAGAGTAGAAGCATTTAGTGCTCCCGTAAAATCCTATACACTGCCCTGAGTAAATCTATAACGCTGTTTATGCCACTGGCTCATCACGGCTCCTGTAACCGCATCTATAATGGACAAATGCTTCCCTGCTGCCAGTTCCTTAAAAGTGCACTTTAGAGCTGAATTCCAGAAAGGCATTTAACACTGGCAGTACACGCAGCAGTAGCAGATGGCCCCGAAGGAAAGTTTCCCCGTTTACTTTAGGGTATTCGTTTTAGGAACTCTGCCAACTGTTGCATATAAATAGTTCTCCCATGGACGGGGAATGGCGCCCACCGTGTGGCACCCCAGGCGGTCTTTATTAACCCCTACCCTCCACCAAAGCCCACATCAGAAAAAGCACACCAGAAAAGGATGCGAATTAATTATCAGGGGGTCGGGGAGGGAGAAGAAGTGAAAAGAGTCAGAGTAGCACCAGAAAGGAAAAGGTTGGAAAGCAAAAAAAATACATAAATAAATGACAGTAGTTGAAGCCAACGTGGAGACCGCTCTGAAGATGGCGATTTTGGGAAAAGATGTGTTTTCCACATGTAGATAATACAGGCTGAAAGCTGCTAAAACATCATCCCAACAGTTTGTAGGATAAACTCAGGAAGGCTAGCTGGATTTAGATTGTTCCTAAACCATCTGCTTTGCGGGAATCTACACAAGCATCCAGGTCTATCCATGGGTGAACATCACTCTCAAGAATCGTTGTGGGTCCCTGTGCCTTTTAGTTAAAAGTTTCCCACTTGCAGAAAAGGTCCTAACTCTTTTATAACATGCTCTTGAGTGTTGCTGGGGTACTAGTGCAGATTACCTTCTTGACTGTCTATCTAATTTTGTTCCCATGCATGAGCTGTGTTTTTAAGTATTCCATCATAGCCTCAGCCCAGGGTCCTAGGGAAAAGTATTATTAACTTATTTTAAATCTGAAGTGGGGAGGGAAAACAATTTTTAATGTCTTTCCTTCCTCCTGTGGGAAAATAAACTAACCAGGGCGCAAACAAGAGACACTTCTGGGGGGCTGTTAAGGAGCGATTAATCACGGATCCTCCAGATCAACTGAACAGGAGGCCATAAGGTATGGATTTAGTGACAAGGTATGGATTATTTTTTCTTCCTGTTTAAGGTTTGCTTGCAATTTCTTTTTTAGTTGCAGCAAAGGTATTTAATTTGTGATTTATACCCTGTCTTTCCGAGTACAAATTTCATAGCCATTAATTAGCACCTGATGAATGCAATCTGCAGGCAATTAAACTCTTTTCAGATTAAGCATGCACATTAAACAGTGAGAAGCCAGGGCCAAAAATACTGAGGTTAGCGTATTAAGAACGATCAGGGGCAAAGTTAAGTGGCTCAAACATGTTGCAAAAAAAGCTGCTTCAAGGAACTGGGACTTGTGATTTTTCAGACTGTACTGCAGGGGAGACCATCGCATTTCTCAAATACAAGATGAGTAACTGTCACCATTAGCCAAGTGACAGATGGTCAGACTTGTTGCAGGCGAACGTATGCTCGGGGAATAATTCAGAGAGTCAATAATTAAATACTGGGAGGTGCACATTTATTTGCACATGTACAACCACTGTTTCAAGAGATGCCCCTGCTACAATTTCACTTCCACAGCTTTCTCAGTTTCCCAGTACAGCCATTGAACGCAGGGAGTTGACGTTGTCCGGATTTTAAAAAAATCAATAAATATACAAAGGAGAACAAGTTAATGAAAACTTGAGGGATCTGTGCAGAGAGACGCGGAATGTAGAACCCAGGGAATTCCACCACGAAACCTGTCATTAAGGGCATATGCCAAAACCCTGGTGGGTGGATCTACCTTTTAAACACCCCTGTACCTGTTACATGGAGACTCTTAGCCTTGAAGCCAAGACCTGTGTACTGAGGACAAGGAGTCCCGATGTAAAAGCAGTTGGGGCTCCTGTACCTTTAGTTGTTAACTACCTGCTGGAATTCCCTCTTTTGTACAGATATTAAAGGTCCAGGAGTTTTAATTGAGCTGCTGCAGCTGAGATTTCCCCCCCTGTACATATGTGTACATGTTTGTGTGTGTGCATGTGTGTATATCATGAAGGACAGCGTTCCGAGGCAGACAAGTCTAGAATTCGAAGTGCGTGATTTTACCCCACTGAACGGGCTTGTCTGTGTTAAGGGGTCCCTCCTGTGCTTGATGTGGAGCCAAGATCACAGCAACAAAACCACAGGACGAAGGGGAAGGGCGGAAATGAAGAACAGCAGTGTGGCAACAACGGGCCTTGACAATATCACACAAGCCACATGGATTTTTTAGCAACGGTTAAACTACAGTCAGCTCAAAGGAATGCAGAAAATCTGCAGAGATAAGAACCTGCAAGGGAAGGGGAGGGGAGGAGGAGATAAAAACAAGAGAAGAACAAGGACAAAAAAGGGAGAAATCAACTGGAGAAAGAAAGTACAGGAAGCTTCCCTTTTGAAGGCCTTTTTGTTTGTCAGTGAGAGAGAACGAGTTTATTTGTTTCCTTTTCTACTTATCAGCTTTCCCACAGCCCCAAAACACAAGATCATTCTCTTCCTTGAGCCTAAATCTTCTTTACGAGGAGTGAAAACCAGCTATTCTGCTCACCGTCCTCCCACACACTGAGCAGTTAAATCCATGCGAATCCAGATAACAGGTTCCACTGAAACATAATGGCACAAAGCCCGTCTTTTCTTTGAGGCCCAGCCTGCACCAGCCAACAGCCACCTGAAACCTCCAGAAATCGAACCTCTACGCATAAAAGTGAGCTAAAACGAACGGGAGTGAAAGAGGATCGCTGTAGGGCAAGAGCAGAAAAGGCGCCAGTAAAGTAGCAATCGGTGGAGGGAGGACAGACCAAAATGTGTGATCTCATAATTAACTTACGGAACTCATTGCCACAAGATGTGATCATCATGATTAGGCTTGCCTATGTTTACCACAAAGTGGAATCTCATGGCAAGGGGTAGGCACGATATGCCAGGAACAAATGGAATTCTGACACCCTGGTTCTGTTCATCCTAGGTTCTGGAAAGACGACACCAAGCCATCTGGATCCCACCCAGCCAGGCAGAGCATGAAACATTATCAAGAAATGCTTCATTCATGCATAAACGACCTTCTTTCACAGATCTTGTTCGATGCACATGTCTATACACACCCACACATATGCCTTCACTTGGATTTCTGCATTGAGCAGGAATGGCATAGAAAGACCTTGACGGACTCAAGGTCTTTATATGCCATTTCAAACTCGCTTATGCTATGAACTCGGTTCAACAATTACAAGCATTCATTAGCCTGGGGCTGACTCCATGGTCTTAAGACTACCCATTGTTATATTGATTGGGGATATATACTGAGATGCATCACATTGTCTTCAGAAAGACATTTTGAGGGCCGCAAGGAGAAATCCAGCTCTTCGGGCATAAGAAAAAAGAGGTCCATTCTCTCTCTCTCTGTCTTTTCCAGTGTTCATGATTTCCAAATGTTCCGTTGTGTTCATGGCACGGCCTTGTCACATCAAGTATGGCCTCTGCACACAAATTTCAGATTTTGTCCGATAGGGTACCTGCAGCCAAATCTACCTGCAGGGAGAAACCTAACACATCAGGGAGAATTTTAATTTGCTTTTATTCTGGGGCTTTTATGAGCAATTTTATGAGAAGGAAATTAGAACAGAAGCGTGAGGTAGAAATTAGGTCTTGCATTTTTCACCTTGAGATAAATACCTTGGGCACCTAAATTAAATTAGCAGCTATGCCGTGAACAATTAAAGAGAGAGACTTTTTCTATATTAATCCATGCAAATAATCAAGTCATGCGCACACATTTTAGCATTTTTTGGTGGGGTGGAGCTGGTATGAAAGCATCCTCATTCATCCTGTAAGGCCTCCATAAATCATAGTGTTGCTTTGTAACTTGATGTAAAAATTCAGCAGTTCGACCAAACGCATGCACGGCACAGCGGCTGCGGACGCCAACGTCAGAGGCACAGTTACAACTGCAAACGGAGAAGATGGCAACCCAAGATCACCAACCAGAGTTTTGTTCGCTTTGCATTTTCTCTCCTGACTAAAATAAACCCAACCCCCCAAAGACAAGGCGGCTGCACTCCAGGGAAAATAAACACACCTTTAAATTACAGCTCTCCTTCGTAAATCATAAAGTTCCACTCATCGGCCGAGTCTCAACATGACAGCAGCACAAAGCCGGCTGAGATGAACAGCACACATAACAGGCATTCTGGCGCTGGAATATCCTTTTAACCACTGTAATATCGCTGTATTACCATTTGTGGGGTTAAGGAGGTGGGCAGAAGGAAAAAAGTATCAGGAGGCACTCTAAGTGCGTACTCGTCTGCCAAAAGATGCCGGAAGATAATCTGGTCTTAGTGGGAGACGGTACATGATGCTTCCCAAAGAACATGGACATTGAAGGATGATCAGTTATTACTAATTGTTATGAAAATCTGACACCGTTATCTAGACTCCTTGGATGCCCATGGAAAGTTTAAAAAAAACCCACCCTTAAAAGAGAGGCGGTCTTAGAGAAGTCTTGGGATGTCTGCATCACTAAGAAAGTATTTTTCTTTTCTTCTGGACTCCCCCACAAAAGTCCAGCATGTCATGAATAAAACCCGTTAACCCTTCAACCTTCTCCCCCCCCCCAAGTGGATCTCTCACCAGATCCTTGCTTCTTTGGGTTCATTCACTTCTTCCCAGCCACACACACACACACCACAAAAGCTACAACTGCATTTTCCATGACTGAGATGCAGACACCAACCCTCTGGTAGAACTGAAACAAAACTTTGTTTGGGGAATGCTCGGTATTGGAGAAGGAGCTGTTCCTCCATTATTCTCTGCCTTGTTGGGAAAGAGGACAGTTTTTTTTTTAAAAGCACAGGACATGAAAAGTGATGGGGAGGTAAAATCTTTAAAAAAAAATGGTGAGGCAGGGAAATGCCTATGACCTCGTGTCCCACATTCCCAACTGGACCGTCATCTCTAGACCGCTTAGGGCTGAAGCAGTAACATGCCCCCATGAATTTTGGGCTGAGGCACCCCTCCCCACTTCTGGGAGGTCCATCATCCACCCCTTGTTCTATCTATGCATTAGGGCCAGCCCTGCCTTGCTATTAAAGACCAGATGCTCTGATGAAGGTCCAATCTGGTACATCCAGCATGTTTTTAAATCTGGAAAAAATGCAGTATATAGACATTTAAGGCAAACCCAACCCCACCGTCTTGCCTGAGAGAGGTCTAGATTTGAGCTAGACATTAAAATCAAGGTTTTTCTCCTCTCCATCCACCCCATCTCTTTTGGAGGGGGGGGGAATCATCCTCTCCAGGGCAGCCTTGGGCTGGCTTCCCTGGCAGGCAGCATCCCACACCGGGAACCCAACCGAGACCTGTTTTTAAAATCCCTCCCAGTCCGATCCACCAGAACCAGGCGGGAGGGGTAGGATGTTTTTTTTTGGGGGGGGGAGAAGAGAAGCATCTCATTGAAAAGGAGACATTAAAAAAAGAGAGAGTGAGCGCAGGCAGCCATCCTTCCCACCCTCTCCTCTGTCAGCTCTTACCTGGCCGGTGCCTCATCCTAGGAGAGAGGAGGCATCATCCTCCCCCCCCATCCCAGGCGCTCCATTGCGCTCCCAGCATCAGCCGCTGCCCACCCGTTTCCAAGTGCCCCAGATGTTGGCGGCAGCGGCGCCCTGATTGGCTGGACCCGGCCGCCGAAGCAAGAGGGGGAGTCGCTGATTGGCTGGGACGCACAGCCGAGCCCGGCGCTGACTGGTCCAGATGTGGAGGCTGTAGTTAGGCCGCCCCCCCGCCTCCTCTCTCTTCTCTTCTCTCTCCCCCTCCCCTCCGGCTTGCTTTCCTTTTTCTGTTTTTTTTCCCCCTCCCTTTTCTCCTCCTCCTTTCTTTCAATTTGCTGCCAAGGGAAGAAGAAGAGGAGGGGGGGAGGCTGTCGAGGCAGGCCAGCCAGGCAGGGATCCCAGCCCCCCCCCTCCGGGCAAGCCCTACAGTAAGATGATGGACAATAAGCCCAGAGATTATGATGGAGGATTAAGTCCTTATCATCATAACCACAGGACAAAATGTGAAATGCAACCTGTGCGCTTTAAAAGCCACGCATGCCGTCGCCCCCGCCCTCCCGGCTCCAGGCCTTTTGGGACCAACAACCAGACAAGGTAGGGCACCGTGAGCTTCTCGTAGGAGGCGAGGAAAGATTCCTTTGCTATGTTAGGGGGAAGCATCCCATTGAAAAGGAGAGAGACTCGACCGCAGCCATCCTTTCCACCTGGCACCTCTTCTGTCAGGTAACAGGTTGGCACCTCCTGCATCCCTCTATCCAGGATCTCCCATCTAAAGTCCCGCCAACAGCCTCAGCCACTGCTCAGCCTGCCCATCTAAGCATCCCGGACGCGGGCTGCTGCACTCCCGGGCAGGAGGTAGGGTATTAATATAAATAATAAACATCTCGTAATAAGGACTGGCTTACACTGCAACACGGGTAGTGCCAGCTTGGTATACTGTACAGTATTTGTCCGTTTTATCACTAGGAGAAGCTTACCTCTAATCTCATCATAAGGACATTTTAAAGTTTCAGCCCAAAAGCCAACTCCAGGAGAAAATCGTTAATGGGTGCGGGTGCAGCTTGGAGAGGACCGAATGTATGGTTTTGGATTTGCACTCGGAACGGCCAGGCGGGTTGGGGAAATCTGGGCATGTTAGGCTACAAAAGTGAATTTTCCAGAATCTAATCAGAACATAAACCAAGCAAAAGTAATTCGAATAGCTCCTGGTTGGTCCACATCCTATTATTCTCTGTGGCTTGGGGCAGAGATAGTTTTTTTTTTTTTTAAAGCATCATATATATATCACTCTCTGTCCCTCTTTCTCTCCCTCACACACAGATAGACAGGCAGCACTATATAAAGAAACAATGATAAAACACAGTGTTCTTTTTGCAAACCCTTTTGCCCACGGCTGCCAAAAAGACAGGACGGCAGTCGATGGCTGAAAAAAAGGATGGGAAAGGCAGGCGAAGGAGACGTGCCACCAGCAACCCCACGGAAAGGCTGTCGGCCGCCCCCCACTCGCCAAGGGGTGGCATCTAGGAAAGGGTGAATCTCAGCAAACCATCCCCTTCATTGGCAAAGATCAAACTCAACAGTGCAGCTCAAGAGGAACTCCTGTGCATGTCACCTCAAGTGTAACACCCCACACCATCTCCTAGCTGGGACTTGCTTTCCAGTAAGTATGCTTAACGTTGTAGCCCGCCATCACAAGTGGCACCGAAAAGGCTCTGTGTGTCCTGGCGAAAGGGTAAGTGGAGCAAACACAATTATTTTCTGCTTTGCTTTCCCAAAACTTCAGATGTTGGCAACTACTTTTAGAAATAATTGCAAAAACTCAAAGGGAGTCCTACGAATATCATCGAGTCCAAGCCCTTTCGAGGAAGCACAATGGGGGAATCAAACTCCCAACCACTGGCTCCAAAGCTGCAGACCTGAATCACGGAGCAATCCAGCAATTATGGTATGGACGTTGCATCATATTACAGGCCATATGCTCTTTTAACCAGTGAAACCGAGGGGGAAAGCCGGTAACCTCCTTAAAACTGCACGATTGCATTTCAGCAACTGGAACCGCTCAAGATGGACTTACATTACTTTTGCATGCAATAAAAGCTGATCTGAGTCGGGTCGTCAGTTCCCGGATCTCATCCAAATGACTTTCCCGTTAAGAGAGAGGTTTCCATAATGCAAGAAGAAGAAAAAAACCCAACCCAAAATAAAATAAGAATCATCCCTGTTGGCTTTCTAAGTGGCTGCTTGGAAAACCCAGCCCCTTGATGGGGGGGGAAACCACTCCATCTCTTCACGGACTTTGGAACGCAGGTGTACTTTTCCTTTTGAATACACGGCGCTCCCTGCCAAAAACTGCATTACTATGTCAACAGAAAACGAGGCTGGGCACACAGTCGGGTTGGCACGGCAGGGGGAGGAACAGAAAACTGAGAATTAAGGGCGGCTGTGTTGGTCAGGAACGGATTCAAGGAGCCCACTGGGTGGACGGAACAGAAGTAAAAACGCCCGAAAGTACAGGAAACAAACGGAGGCCGAATTTTCTGAACCACACCCGTCGTTGGGAATGACCGCTGCGCCGGAGCTTAGAGGAGTCGCTTCTGGAACTACAGCTCCCAGAATCCTCCGCTGACAAGTACCCAACGGGCCACTCTGGCCAAAGTCATTTCAATAAGCAAGCTTCCCAAACTCTGTAGGAAATGATGATTTCAAATTGATCAAGCTAGTCTCAAACAAGAAAAGGGTCCAGGATGAGATTATCCTATTGGTGGTCATCTCCTTTCTCTTCTTTCCCTGAAATCCAGGAAATCGCAAGGTTAGGGGAAGAAGCAGAGGAGACGGAAGAAGCTGTGATTCCTTCTCCAGTACAAAGGGCTGGCATTAAAAAAACCCAGGCAATCATTCAAGGTGTTTAGTGTATTCGTCATCTTCAGAAAGCTCACAAAGCAGAATGCCGTTATCCTCATCTTACAGGTAGCGGACAAGACGCGGAGGTGATGCAATTCCCAAAACAACACTATCCACCGGGCACTATCCTCCCTCTCCTGTAGAGAAAGTTAAAGATATGGCCATGACAGGGATGGGAGCTGGTCTATGCATGAAGACACGCATTCCCTTTCGGTGTCTCTCAAAAACAGAAAGACCAGACCCATCCCTGCAATAAAATGTTGCTGCGGAAAGGGGTCAGGTTCAAGATGGCAATTCCACATGTTTGCTTCCCTCTCCCCTCAAACAACAAGCAGCATGCTGTGACTTCTGCATCCCAAAGATTCTCTGTCTCACCAGCCTTTTCCCCCTCCTCAACCCTTCTGCAGACTTTCGGGCACCAGGCAGCCATACCTCCTCCTCTTGTGTAAGAGGTAAGTGCTTTCTTGGCCTCGTAACAGCCCATCCTTCAGGGACGAGTTCACCATTTCTATACAGGGCATCATACAATATTATTTATTGACAAGGCAAGGGGGCGAGTCATCTCTGCGCATGATTTCAAATAATGTGAAGCTACCCCTGACACGCTGATGATCTCCGCTTCAGAGGAGTTAAGCACCTGCCTAGCAGGTGAAACGCAGATGGTCGTTTACAAGACAAACGTCCACATTTGCAAAAAAGAGGCTCATCCTCTCGCCGCACGAAGGATCTTTTGGGGTTCAAAACTGACTTCCGCTTGGGAAGAGTCTGTTTGCAAATGAGTCACTTCCCGGGAAAAGAGATAGAAAAAGAAAGAGAGACCCAGAACAAACCAAAGACAAATCACAACTGTAGCCAGACAAATTACGAGAGGAAGGTAGAAACGTTCAACTTTCTCCGTGACAATGAGATATTTTGTCCCCGCATAGCGGGTAAAACACACACACCAGCTTACTGGTGCTTAATTGCAAAGGGTAAGGTTTCCACGAACCAAATAAACACGGCACGGCAAAGGAAGGTCTTTGCAGGGGGAGGGGTTGCTCCGCGCATCCTGCCCCTCCTGCAGGCATGCCTTATTTAAAAGCGTTGATCAAGGGGACCCCCCGAGCAGGAAGTTCCTGGTGCAGCTGGCGGAACAGCATGGCACAGTGGTTCCTCTCTTGAGTCTTGCCCAGGCTGTGGAAGACCCTGGCTTGCAGGTAAAGGACATCCCGCAGCTGCTCTTTACAATCTACCTTGGCAAAATAGGTTTTGGCTTCATTGAGGTTCAGGATCGCCGACTCCAGAGCTGCAGAGAGAAAAACAAAACACCCAACGTTTTAAGAACAGATTCTCCTCCCTTCTTCAAAGTGGCACATTTCAAATCCTTGAAAGGTTGTCCTACAGAGGAGGGGCAGGATCTCTTCTCGGTCCTCCCAGAGTGCAGGAGACGTCATTATGGACTCAAGGGACAGGAAACCAGATTTAGGCTGAAGATCAGGAAAAACTTCTTGACTGTTAGAGCAGTACAATGATGGAACTAATGACCTTGGGAGGTGGTGAGTGCCCCAATGTTGGAGGCCTTCAAGAGAAAACAGGACCACCCTCTGTCAGATCTACTTTGATTGGGATTCTGGCACAGAACACGGGGTTGGGCTTGATGGCCTTTTGAGGCCCCTTCCAGCTTGGTGATTCTACGAAAAGGTACACAACGGTGTGACGCAAAATCCAGAGGCTGGGAAAGTTACTTGTTTTGGACTACAGCCTCCAGAATCCTCCTGTCAGCAGACGGATCCCGAGTGATAATTTTAGCGGCCCCGTCTCTAGAGGAATCCACGCGCTTGAAGCCTCTTACCTTCGGCCTTCTTCTGGGGAGCACAGGGAGCGGCAGAGGCAACCTGACATTTGGCCACCAAGAACATGGCGGCCCCTTTGTCCAGGATGGCTCCGTGAGCCAGGATGGGCTCGATCGCCATGTGCAGGATGCTCAGCGCCTGCTCAGGAATTCCAAGGATCAGCTGGAAAGGGAAGGGGGAGAGGAGGAGGAGGGACCCAAAAGATAAACACGGCTTTGAGATTGTCGTCGGAAGAGTGAACACAATCCAGTTCTTCTGGTGGCACAGCTGCTACCAAGCAGTCTCCCAGGGCTTGCTGGATGTGGCCCGGGGTGGTTTTATTTTGTCATGGGACAGCAGTCCACAGCCTTGGGCCCCCAAAGGTTCTTGAACCCTAACTCCCAGAAATCCTGGGCAGCACAGCGAGCAGCAAAGGCGTCTGGGAGTTGTAGTCTTCCTTGAGCATCTGAGAACACCCAAAGAAGGGAACCACATCTGTGCAAAAACAGTTCCGAAATTACCTGGGAGAAAGCCAAGTTGAGAATGGTTTCAGAGGCCAAATACTGGAGGCGGTATTCTTTGGCCAGAGCCAGGGCCTGGAGCAGGACCGGGAGAGCGAGGGTGTGGCACAGCGAGCGCCAGTAGAGCTCGGCCATGGAGAGGAGAACGCTAGTCGCAGGAGGGGAAGCAACGAGGGAAAGCTCGTCAAAAGAGAACGGGAGGCTTTGCTGCAGTCGATGGAAGGGAAATCCTTCAGGCAGGCCCTAGAGCCATGCCCCACTAACCCCACCCCCCATCTGAGAAGCGTCATTATCAGGTAGCCTGGGTCTTACTTAATCGCCATCTCCGTGTTCTTGATTTTCTGGCAGTGGATCAAGAGTTTCTGGAGCAGGCTGTGTGCTGCAGACATTTGATTCTGTGCTTTGAGCAAGAGGGCTTTTCTGAAAGACAAATCAGAGATAACGTTATAACGCGACAGGCCTACCGGCACTCGCCAAGCTATCCCAAGCAAGTCATAGGGTCATTCTCAGGGGGAGATCAGTGTGATTACATTCCCCCCTTACCGGCACTCGCCAAGCTATCCCAAGCAACTCATAGGGTCTTTCTCAGGGGGAGATCAGTGTGAAGACCATGCCTGATGTCCTTTAATTCTGCCCTCAAATTTAATTCCTGCTCTTCCAGGACGTAGGGCGCAAAAGGGCTTTGCAATGGCCACCCGCTAAAAACAGCCCTCCAGATTTCCAAGTGCGTAACCGAAGGAGCCGACCACTCAGGAAATGAGTGCAGAGACTGACGCGACATTCACAGCAGGGGCAACTCTCCCACATGGGCGGCTGTACTTCCTTACCACTGAGCTGCATTTTGCAGTGCTACTGGTCTCCCACCAGGGTCACGGACCCCGGACAGCCCGCTTTTCCTCGACATGCTCACGGAAAAAAAAAATCCTGCTCTAATCCGAGCATTCACACCATATAGGCACAAATTAGTAACACAGGCAGAATTCCGTTTCCCCGGGCACTGAACGGTATAATTTAGCAGGCACAGCATGCCAGGGAGGCCGAAAAAAGAAAGATTCCCCAACTCAGATTGTGCCATTGTCTGTTCAAAAGGATTACAGAGCACAAACAGATCCTTTTAGAGTCTCTGCCTGAGGCGCTGGAGAAGCACAAGGCGAGGGGGCAAAGAAATAAAATGTGGGGCCCGGTGGCTTCCTAATGTCTTGCTTCCACATCTTGGAAAAAGTTCCTGATTTGAACTACGGCTCTCATTTGTGAACCACCTTGGGTCCCATTAGTGGGAGGAAAGACAGACTAAGAATAAAATAAGATGAACTGGTTATTTGCATATTGATATTTCACTCTGAAGAATGTAAATAATCCTTGGGGGAATAGCTGCAATAAAACAAAAAGCATAATGCTTTAACTCACAGGCCTTTCAATCCTATTTCAAGGCTAATCCCTTTCTTGCAAATGTCAAAAGAGGCACATTGCGATCTCTTACCTGTAAACCCCTTCCGTGCTGTTTAGGGCTGTAATCCCAGCTACCAGCGAGTCAGCAAGATGGTACCTGCCGTCGTTCATGGCTCGGTCAAACTGGATCTTCTGATCAAACAGCATCCACAGCTAGACAGAAACATTTCAAAACTGGGTGGAGGGAGAATTAGGACCGCCTGTTTGTCGGGGATGTTCGCCCCAAAGATCCAACCCATGCCCGGGACCTAAGAACATCCCATTCACAGAGAAAAGAAAAGAGAACAAGACACAGCCTTGGCTCCAGGAGACGGGGCTGTCTTGAGACCTCACCTGTGCATGCTGACTGTTCGGAGGGAATCTCTCCTTAAGGTGCCGCAGGATTTCAGAGGCAGCTGTAAAATAACCCTGAAACGTAAAAGACAGGGGAAAGAGCAGAGGGAAGGGTCAGCACTCTTGTCCTTGAGGATAAATGAGCCAGGCAGCCAATGCCGTTTTATGCAAACGTGATGGGTATAAGCCTGTCACAGGGTACTTTGGTACCATAAAAGGCAGGTATGTCGAAGGGCCACCCACCTGCTCTGCGTGCAATTCAGCCAGGTGGCACAGCACCACCGCGAAAGATTCCGTGTTGTTCTGCTGAACGCCGACGTTCACGGGCTCCAAGGTGTTCATGCTGAGTAGCATCTGGGCCTGCTGGAGAGCCATGGTGCTATGGAACAATCACAAGGGGCCATATAAAAGGCCCATCCGTTAAAACTTTGAGTTCTGCAGGCCTCCCGGGTGGATCTGATGGATCGCCCCGTCGATGCCTACCCAGCCCAGTTTGTGCCGGGCCTTACCTGCGGCCGTAGAGTCTCCAGATCGCCGTCTTTTGAGCCAGGCTGATGTCAATCAGCTCCGACAAGCTGTGCTTCCAGTGCAAGAGGTCTGAGTCCTTCAAGGCATCCATTAGCTTGTTGGCAGTCTTTCCGGCAAAAGCTCTTTGCTGAACCAAGGACTGGATGCCCAGCGAAGCCAAGTACTAGGGAGGAAGTAGGAGAGAAGGCGGAAAAGAGAGGAAGCGTCACCATCGTTATTTTAAAGCTAGAACGAGTTAGAACGAGGCACAAGGACTTTTATCCATCCTCCTTTGTAAAGGCCATTTCCACACAAATAAAGACATTACAGTGGAGGTGAGACACCGATGGCTTTCGTCGCCCGTCCTGTTACATTATCTAAATTAAAAATGAATCAGCTTGAACGGGAGGGTTTATGGGTCAAAAGAAGATTGTGCTCATGGCCTGCGTTCGATGGGGCTCAGGTAGCCAGATCGAGGTCGAATCAACCTTCTCTGCTGGGTCAAGTGAATACCGCAAAAGAAGATTGTGCTCATGGCCTGCGTTTGATCCTGATGGGGCTCAGGTAGCCAGATCAAGGTCGAATCAACCTTCTCTGCTGGGTAAAGTGAATAGCCAGCTCACTGGGGTGGAGTGGGGACAACGTGTAACCTGCACAATTAATCTGTAAACTGCCCAGAGAGAGCTGTAAACACTATGGGGTTGTTAGAGATATTAATGGGGAACTGCGCCCCACACGTGTACACTGTCCCTTAATATTGATAATGTACTGTCCATTTAGTCCTGATTTCTGGTGACCCTTTTCAGGGTTTTCCAGGCTAAGAGTACTCAGAAGCGGTTTTCCATTCCCTTCTTCCAGATGGGGCTCCCTGGGGCTGTGCTGATTCCCCCAGGACCATGACTCTTTTCAGGGTTTTCCAGGCTGAGAGTACTCAGAAGCAGTTTCTCGCTCCCTTCTTCTAGGTGGGGCTCCGTGGGGCTGTGCTGATTCCCCCCAGGACCGTACAGGATGGCCCTTCTCCCAGGAAAACACAGAGTGGGAATCAAACTCCCAACCTCTGGCTCCTTGGCCGATAACTTATCCCCTGCGGAATCAAACTCCCAACCTCTAGCTCCTTAGCCGATACCTTATCCACTGTGTTATCCATTATGCAAGGACAAATCAGAGCTAGGATTCTGGCCCACCTATTTTCCATGTCAGGAAAACCTCATTCCATTTCCCGAGGCTTTTAATGTTTGATGTATCATCTGATTTCTGCTGTACCTCTTTTCAGAGCAGAACTTTGCTGTTTTCAATCATGTTTCTGTTAGGTTTTACCGACTATGGTAAAACAACCCTGGAACTGTTTAACCGCAGAGATGTATAAATTTGTTTTAAATACACAGATTAAAAGAAGGAGGGAGAGATATACCGGCAATCCGAAGTACACCGCCTTCTTCACCGAGTGTTCCAGAAGCACACAGCTATCGGATCTTTTCTGCTCCAAGATGTACAGCCAGCTCTGGCAAAAGAGGAGTTAAAAGAGAAAGCCAATCAACCAACAGACAAAAATTGCTGTGAGATCTGCAGAGCTGCCAAGGGAAAGCAAGATAATACCCTCATTCGTAGAGTCTAGCGCCGTGCATTTCAGGAACGGCACAAAGCAAACGCAACCTCATATTAGGAACGGCTGCAAGAGGACCATAAAATCAATGGCTTCCCGGAGCGTACGGTTACAGCTCCGACCACAGCTGATGCTAACTGTGTAACGTAAAACTTTTATTAGACAATTAAGGTAGGCTCTCTTCTCCCTGCCGGTTGGGGGCTTCCCCCCCCCAACAATCTGGGTCAAAGACAATGATAACGAGACACTTTACTCAGCTTTCTCAAACAAATAACAATCGTAGCCTTATAAACTCTGGAGCACCTGCCAGAAAGGATTTGGGAGTTCACCTTTCAGTCCTGAGAATAACTGGGCCGCAGTCTGATTTGCTTCAGCTCTCTCTGAAGTGTCGGGTTACAACACCCATCATCCTAAACAAACATGCCCATTGGGTACATTGCCTGGGGATGATGGAAGTTTCAATCCCACGCATTCAAGCAAGGGACGGGCTGGAAAAGGCGGGTATATGCCTTGACATGAGATAAAGCCCAGCTGTATGTCGACACACCAAGCCTTGCCTGGCAGGCTTCCCTGGCTCGTGTCCAATACAGATTAAGAAAAAAAGCATGTTTTTCACTTTTTCGGCTGGAAAGAAAAGACAAAGGAGGAAACCTAAGGCATCCAGTGTTTTATCTCTGTCCCCGAGAGAAGCTGGGTCAACATGGAGGAGGCGGGCTGGCAGGAAACAACGAGTCACAGAGTTAAACCTTTTAGCAAAACTGGCCAAGCTCTCTTGCTCGCCCTGTCCCGAAAGTCTGCTGGATTCTCATCTCTCCAGCCTCTTTGTGGCCAAAGCACCCCAACCAGAAAGAGGCAGCGTCCTCTCTCCCCCCCCGCTCCCGCTTACCAAGCAGTGCTGCAGGCAGACATGATCGTTAGACTCCTGGGCAATCCGAATGGCTTCTTGCAGGGCCAGCTCAGCCTGCTGGCTGTAAGCAAAGGAAGCACAAGGACCGTCAAGAATCTCTTTTAACACAGGAATAGCCCAGGACACAATGGTATGGACAGGGATTTTCAAAATAAATAAATAAATAAATCCAGGCACCAGAAAATGTCTAGGCTTCCTCATCAGGTGTGCTTTAGTGGTTCAGAAAAGAGAAACACTTTAAAATGTTCAACCCCTTTTTTTCCTCCTTCTTTTTCTCCAATTAAGCACTCCAAGCAGCCTCTAGGTTGGCTAGGTCTTTGTGTTAAGGCAGAGAGGCACTTTCGGGTAGAAAATACGAGGTTGCTTCTACCACGCCGGATGGCGATTCCATGTGTGCTATTCATCCCCCGCTTTATTTTTTCTGAACCACCATTTCCAATTTCATTCCCCTCCTCCCCCAACTAAATGTAGCCTTTCCATCTAGAAGCTCAAATTAACGCAACTTCTTCTGTTGGCTGGCTGGGAGCTAATATTTGACCGTTCCCAATGGATAAAGCTGAAGCTGCCTCCATCCGTAAAAACAACCCCAGCACCAAACAGCAGACTCACTAGTGGCCAAAGCGGCAGTGCAGAGCGGCCAGATTAAGAGCCGCGTATCTCAGGCTCCGCCCGTAACCTTCGTCGCCGTTGCTTTTGCTTTCCGCCCCAGTGAGAATCAGGCGATCGAAGTAGTGAAGGAGGCTGTGGGTTGAGCTGAAAACGTCTTGGACTCGAAGGCTGTTCAAGTAGCTTAAATAATGCTGGAAAACACGGCATAGGAAAATGTCTGTGAATGCAGGTTACGTCCGCAACAACACCAGCATGCTGGTTTCATGAGTGACATTGGGATGTATGTTTGAGTGGCAGAACAGGCAGCGGCCACAGTTCCCATAGATAATTTCAAAGCAAGGCCCTTTAAGGTTCTCTTGCCTCTATTATTCCCAACCTCATGCATTTCTCTGCTCCCTCCCTCTCTGGCATCTCTCCTCGCTATCCCTTCTTCCTTTCAGAGTCTTCTTCCACATCACAGAAATCTTCTTTTCCTTTCTTTTCCACATTTCAATGGCCCAAAATTGGAAAAAAAATCCTTTTGAGATTTATTTTTATTTTAATTCTATCCCACCCCATCTAGACCAAAGGTATACTTTGGGCGGTTTACAAATTTAAAAACAATAAAACAAAAACAACAAAACACCATATATTCTAGATCCAAGGTGGTGAAAGTATAAGAAATTAAGATATTGCAGGAGAGCTATACCCCCCGAAACACCTTGCACATCTTTGTTCTAGTGCCACTGCTTATTTCAACACCTCTTTTCTAGCATCACGCACCGATCTCCCGTTACTTTCCCAGATCCTCCTCCTCCTTTACTCTCTGGCCCCTATGTTTTCTACACAAACAGAGGGTCCTTCTTGGTCACCGCCCCCAGACTTTGGAACTCCCTGCCACAGGAAGCCACACTGGCCTCATCTCTGCTGTCTTTCCACAAGCAGGTGAAGACCTTTCTCTTCAGGCAAGCTTTCCTTTACTGACTGGCTGCCTGTGTGTGGTTTTTAAATGGATGGTTGTGTCGTAATGCTTTTTGTGTTGATTCTGTGTTTTTTTAAAATCCTTTTTAATAGGTGTATGCTCCCTGTTTTTTGACTTAAATATTGTCTGACGTAAGCTGCCTTTTAAAAAGAGGAAATATATAAATATACCATGCTGTCTGGCCAACGTCTCTGTAAAATCAGAACATGCCGGTCAAAGAGAGCAGGTTTGCCTGACGGACTCTGTGACAAAAGGGTAGCTCGGCCAACGGCAGAGGAGTGACACAGGGCCCTGGGATCAATCAAGGTTAAAGAGGCCCAAAGGGTCTTGTTTTAAAATGATTCACCAGCGCTGCAGTTGCTGCTTGTTCTGCCATTCAAAGATAAATACAGCTGGCACTGCCACATCATCATCATCATCACTTGGCATGAGAGTTTATACCAGACAGATTTTTTTCGGGGGGGGGGAAGATGCTGAGGAAATAAAATAAAACCAAACTTACCGCTTCAGCAAAATCAGGGTTAAACTTTAATAAATTGTTCAATTCCTTTTGTAAAGATGCTGGAGAGAGCGCTTTTGTCTCGTCATTTTTCAATAAAGAGGCCTGGAATTAAATGGGAGGGGGAAAATCTGTCCTTTGAGCAAGCACAGGAAAGTGTGAATTCGACAGGATTTAAAAAACAAAAACACACACTTAATTTTATTATCACCACAACCACCGAACTCTAATGCCTTGGGAAGAAAAGACAACCAGCAGGGTATTTACAAATTGCCATGGAGAGATTTAGCGAAAGCTTTGTGATCATCTGTTCCAAAGGGAGAAAGAGAGAGAGTGGGAGGGAAGGAGAAACGAGCTTGTTAATTTGATTAAAAGGGATGAAAAGATGGCTTAAGACATTTTCAGGATGACTGCATTTCAAATACATGTTTCTTTCTAGTATCCAGAACTCAATCCCATCCCAAAGGCCAGGATGGCTTGGAGCCAGGATACCTCTCGTCTTCCTTTGCTCTTCTGCAAAACTTCTAACGTGGGGTCTTCTCTCATTCATTCTTTCTTACTAGCAAACTTGGTCCAGTAGAAACTGGAAAAGGGGCTTTTTTTGATATAGTGGCTGGCCAGTCATGGAACCCCCCCCCCTATTTTGCACGCCTAGGGGAGGAGCACGCAAGTTTCAGAAATTCAGGGCCCTGTTCCCCACTTCGCAACCACAGATGAGGAAATGAGCAAAAACTACAAGCCAAAAATGGACAGAACTCCTGAGCATGGTATCTCCCCTGTCAGGTAACTATGGAAGTAAAGGCACACTAGAACACAGGTGGATCTCTTGCCCCAAAGTGGAAGCCTATTGGCGGGAAATAATTAAATGGATAGAAACATGGTTGAATCAAAATATGATTAAAAATGAAGCTTTATTATCATTTTCACTATTTAAGGGTGGAAATGAAAAAAAATTCAATAAAGACCTAATTGCACACCTTATTGGTGCAGTAAGAGTTGAAATTGCACTACACTGGAGAAATGCTCAAGATCTTGCAATACAAAAAAATAAAATAAAATCTGAGAACGGAATCTGGCAAATGGTCCTGATGGAAAAGCTGACCAATCAAATTAAAATATATAGAGGGCAAATAAAACAGGATAAATTTATGAAAACCTGGCGATCATTATTAACATATGAAATTAGCTCAAGAAAAGGAGAATGTGATATGGGAAGTAATTTGGATTGCTGGCATGTAATATTTTAAAAAGAATTAATTAAGTATGTTAAAATATGAACTAGTGGATGCATAAAGAAAGACAATCTACTGAAAAAAACGTGTAAGTAATGCGATAGTATTGTACTATAATTCTAACTTGCATTATTATACTATGGATATTAATAAATCTATAATAAAATTTAAAAAATGGACAGAACTTTTATTCCAGCTGAACTGAGGAACAACTGGGGGACTCTGTGCCCTATTTTATTGCAGAACACCCAGAGGTTTCCTGGAGGGAGGATTATTATGGGCTACTGAAAGCAAGGGTGGGCAGGCATCCAGCTTCAAGACTTCTTGACGGATACGTTTAATATTTTCGATTCACTCACCTGTTGGGACAGGAAGTATTCTGCTTGCTTCTGCGAAAGGGGTCCATTGCAGGATATTTCCTCTTCCCTCAAAAAAGAACAAAAAAGACCCACTAGGTCATTTCTCCAGAATTCCACAATGTGCATGAGAAACATATGAGAGCTGTGTTGGCCCATAAGCAACAATGGAGTTACAGACTCCATAATTAGGTAAGCAACAAGCTTATCAGGGCCAGCCTGATTCTTACCACATTATGTGCAAGCTTTGGATTTCTCCATAACCCTTTGTCAGGCTGAACAGTGTTGGTGAATCCGAAAGCCTGCACATCATTGTGTAACATCTCTATCCGCCCTAACAGAATTATTGTCTGTTAGGGCTCTTCCAGGTTTTTGCAAGCAAATCTAAACAGTGCAAGAATTCCCCACTGCGCGCTACGTAAGAGACTGAAATCGTTTTCGACACACTCCGCATACCTGGGGATGGAATGGTAAACCAGGAAATGGCTGCAGGTCTCATTTGGGGAAGAAGAGCAGGACAGCAATTCGAGAAATGCATAAGTGATCAAAGCTCGTTTCTGCCCAGGACTCATGGGTGAATCCATTATTATTCTAAATTTCCCAATCAAAGGAAGGGACGGAGAAGGGCTTATGCTGAGCTAGCTTTTGGACAGAATAGTAAAGATTTCCTTACCAAATGAGAGAAAAGGCAGAGGTTTGCACGCAATGCACCCCCAAAAGAGGCTTACCTGAGAGGGCCATCAAGCTCCTCCTTTTCCATTTTCCCTTCCACTGCATCGCACTGAGTCAGCTCCATCGCGCTCTCCTCTCCTCCCACACTCTTCTGTTCCTTGTTCTGAGAATACTGCTGGAGGGCTGTGTAAAGCTTATACACTTGGCTGAAGGACAGCTTGTTGTAGGCGAGGATCATGTGGCGCAGAAACAAGCCTGCAGAGTGAGTGGGGAGAGGCTTATTTCTAGGCGGGCAACTTGACCAGGTTCAAGGAGGCCAATATTTTGTCTGATGGGGGAACGGAAAGCACTGTAGCCTCAGGGCTTTTTGACCCCTGGTAATGCCAGGAAAATTAACAGCACCACTCCGAAACTCCCATTATGTAGTGAGGTGCCATCAAGTCAGAACTGACCTACAGATGACCCTAATAAATGAGATATTTGAGGAGTGGTTTGACCAGTTCCACTCCCCCAGTGAGTTTCCCTAGCCAAGTGGGATTTGAACCCTGGTCTTCAGGGCCCTAGTCCATCATTCTAACCACTATACCAACTGGGAAACCCCCCCTGAAACTCCCAGTATCCTTTTAAAGACTGTTTCAGTTCTCTACACCTTTTAGTTTCTTATTGTTTTGGGGGGGGGGAGAGAAGGAGGGGGCAGATGGTTTGGAAAACCATCTGTGGCTTTCTCAGTACAGGTTATAGGGAAAGGAACTTTGTGGGCACCAAGGCCTCCAGCCATGAGCACTCTTACTCTGCAAATTATGCCCATTGAGTTGATCTGCAATGGGCATGTACTGGGAAACATCTGGCAAACCATCGGTAGAAAACACTGACAGACATAATAGGAGGCCTATGAACTCATGAGCAGAGTCTTCACTGCAAGACTGCAGTTCAACCACTGTGACACAAGGCTCCCTTTTGTTTGTGGGAGGGACGGCCATTATTTGGAAAGCTGAATTGATATTGCAACACACGCGGGAGAGAGATCAACAAATTTTCAGTAGCACCCTCCCAAAATTACTCTTTAGGAAAAGCAGCGTGGGAATGAATGAAAGCAATTAACATTGGATTCTGGGAACTGTAATCCAAACAAGCAATTTTTCCAAGCTCAGCCAATGAGGCTTAAGCATGCTTACGAGGCTCATAATGCTGCATATTAGGTTGACAGGGACTCAAAACACCATGACAAGAAAAGATGAAGCAGTCACATAAGTGCACTTCAAGTTACTCAACTATTTCCTTCTGATTTTAAAACAGCTAAACATAACATTTAGTAAATCAATTCTATCCTTGGCCACATCCTACAAAGCTCATTTAACCCCAATGAAAACTTTAGATTTAAAACAGGACAGATACCTATGGTGAAGCACTGCTGTGCTCTCATTGATGTAGACAGAAAGAACAGATGAGCTTACCGTATTTGAACGGAACTTGCTACCTGAGGACAGGATTCTTCAATAGCTTTAATCAGTCGTGACAGAGTCATATCAGGGCCCTAGATAAAACACAGATAGAAACACAGTTAGAACATATATCGGAACAGGCTGGATCAGCCACACCATCTTTACTATAACAGAAAATCATTACTTTGCAGGCAAGGCCCTTACTTACTGTCTGCCTCCCCCTTACAGGTTGCCAGGAATTCCCATATTGGGTGTTGTGGAAAAAATTAAATTGATTAGTGCTTTTAAAATGAGTCTTAAGGGCTCATTTACAGAACAAAACTGAGGTACAATTGATCCAGGAAATTGTCTTCCAACCAACCTTCATGGCCCTCTTGCTGTTTTGAGTCATTAATGGATTATCTGAGTTGCTCTGCTCAACTATTTCCTTCTGATTTTAAAAGAGCTAAACATAACATTTAGTAAATCAATTCTATCCTTGGCCACATCCTGCAAAGCTCATTTAACCCCACTGAAAACTTTAGGTTTAAAACAGGACAGACACCTATGGTGAAGCACTGCTGTGCTCTCGATGTAGACAGAAAGAACAGATGAGCTTACCGTATTTGAACGGAACTTGCTACCTGAGGACAGGATTCTTCAATAGCTTTAATCAGTCGTGACAGAGTCATATCAGGGCCCTAGATAAAACACAGATAGAAACACAGTTAGAACATATATCGGAACAGGCTGGATCAGCCACACCATCTTTACTATAACAGAAAATCATTACTTCACAGACAAAGCCCTTATTGTCTGCCTCCCCCTTACAGGTTGCCAGGAATTCCCATATTGGGTGTTGTGGAAAAGAATTAAATTGAGTAGTGTTTTTAAAATGAATCTAAAGGGCTCATTTACAGAGGAAAACTGAGGTACAATTGATCTGGGATATTGTCTTCCAACCAGCCTTCATGGCCCTCTTGCTGTTTTGAGTTATTAATGGATTATCTGATTACTCTTAATGCAAAGATACAAATGCAACAAACAAGTGCAGTTCCTCTCCATATGGAAATAGCCTTTGTGTAAAAGCTCTACAAACTACATTCTATTCATGACAAGGCTGTTAATGCATAGAATCCTTTACAAACAATAACTGCAAAACTCAAGACCCTTAGTAACCCTACCAGGAGAGGTTTGCATCTATGCAGTTTTGAATTGTGCTTCTATTTTATTGAGACTTCAATAATAAGATGTCAAACAGTTTGCAAATCAGCAATTTTGTGCTGTATCTCAAGTTCAGACATTATCTCTAGAGTGACCTCACTTGGGCTATCACAAACAACACATTTTCTCCAGCTTCGTTCCCCATAGGAAGGGGGGGGGAGTCTGCAATTACCTAAACACATGCGCTTCAACACTTGGAAACATCACAAGTCCATGTCCATTTTCATTGCATTATTTGCCGTTGCTGTTATTTGCCATTACTGTTGTTATAACTACCTTTTGCAATGCAATGAGGCGGCCCAATGCAGGAGAGGACATACCGATTATTATTTCTTATTCATCAAATTATTGCGTCTTTGACCATTGTGCAGAAATAGCCCTTTGGTCTAGTAGTGTTATTTGCACAACCAACGACATCTGCAGAAATCCCCTTTTTTTTACAGAAAAGGAAAGAACAAAATTGGGGAGCCTTCTTCTTCTCCTCCTCTTCCTCCACAAGCCTTCGGGGCGAAGGGCCCCCGCCACCCCCAAGGCCCCCCCTCCCCCANTCTCGAGGAGGCTGAGGTGCGGCCCAGCCCGGCCCAGTTCTCCGATCAGCACCAGCACCGCCATCTTGTAGGGGGTGACCCAGTCCTTGATCCCGAACACGTTCGCGTGGACCACCCCGTTGGTCATCATGGGGTTGAAATACAGGCTTTCGTGGACGCTGGCCATGACCGCTCCCGCCCGCTTTCCCTCTCCCGATGGGGGACACAGACGGGCGGCGGACCGGCACCTGGCAACCGCGGCCGTCACCCGGGCGACCACGCCTCGGTCTCAAGTCAACCAATGGCAGAAGCTTACGGAGTCAGGCGGTTTTCCGCTCCGAGCCAATCCGAACGCGGGGAGTGTTTATGTGAGGCGGGCAATTGGGTCCGAGCGGAAACAGCTACCGCGCCGTCGAAGGTTCCGCGGTGTTTGCTGGGCCGGGATGTTGTGCGTCGGTCTGTTTATGATCTAGGTCAGGTGGAGAGAGCTTTCGGCTTCAGTTTCCACTCTGCAAGGCATCATGGGAGTTGTAGTCCAGACGCATCCGGTGGGCCAAAAGGCGCGCCTCCTTCTTTCGATCATGTGCAAAAATTGCTTTTTAATTTATTTTATTTATTAATGTATTTGAAATATTTGAAATATTTTTGAAATATTTTTTATCCTGCCTTTCTTTGTAAAAAGAACCTCTTGGTAGCTACATCTTGAGCTGTTGTGGAGACGAAATTGGTGGAAATGGGGTGGATATGGGGTGTGTGTGTGTCTCAGACTCATCTACCAAGGTCATTGGTGACCTTGTGCAGTCACTAATTCAGCCTGTGCTTTCATCCAGGCAGAGAGGTCCCATAAAATAAAAGGCAGTACCTGCACCTTTAATCATTATTAGCCCTTTAATAATTATGTAGCCCTTCCTAGTTACAGGAAAACACTTTCAGCAGGTGTAACTTGCCATTCATGCTGCACCTGTTGGAATGCCGCCTTCTATGCAACCTCTAAGGCACACAAGTTTGTTCTCTTGTTCACAGAGCCGACCTATGCAGGGCTGGTGTGAATACGAAACGGGAGGTACGTGTAGCTTCTGTAGCGATTCTTTCCATGTCATCATCACTTGCAATTCTACCTATTTATTAGGTATAATGAAACTATTTATTTGAGGTCTGTGATCTTTTACTGTTGATTATTTAGAACGAGGTAAACATGTTTGAAAAATCAAATCTGAAGTACTGTACATACTGGGAATAAGAGTTTCCGGAAAGAAGGTCCTTTCCTGGAGGTTTAGCTTTCAAAGCACTTCATCTATTGTGCTGCCCCTTTCTGAATGGTGTCAATGGAATCCAGTCTTCTCCCGTTCTGGAAATATTTTACACATACACATAGCGTTTGTATGTTATATTGGTTCTGAAATTAACAGGGTGTTAGTTTTTTTTTTAAAGTGCTTCATTATATGTTGTAAGCTTGCACTCTGCTTTGCATTTCTTGTCTCTGACAAGCCTGTGAATAGACCTGGTGTAATTTTAAGAAGATTTGCTGGCATAAAAATAGCAACATAAGAGAGGTTTACCTCTCCAGCTAGGCAGTGTGACATAATAATCTTGTTAGTTCTTGCAAATGCAGATGAGGAACGAGGACGGAAGAAATCTTTGGGTGGAGGAGCCTTTTGTAGAGGCATCTGTATATCATTCCTTCTGTTGTGCAACAAAGGTGCCCTTCGCAAGTGACAGATGAACGCTGCCCGATCGTGACGCGGTGAGGCTGCTGAAAGGTTGCAAGGCAGCAAATTGGTAGACCAATTACACAAGGGGGTGGACTACTGTTTTTCAAATGGTGGCTCCTCAAGCTGTGTTTGGGAAGCAATTTTTGAAAAAGGGGGAGTTTTCAGAAGCATTTTTCTGATGGGAGTGGTGTTCTCGCTCTTCAAAGGTGTGCATGTGGGTAAAAAAATCTGAATGGCATAGAAACACTGGAAACGGTCATTTCCTGAGCTGGACGTATGGCCCCTATAACCCAGCACTGTCAACTCTGACTGGAAGCAGTGGCTTCCCATGGCTTCAGGCTTAACTCCCCAAAGAAGACCTGGATGGTACCTTCAAGGTCATATGTTGCCAAATTAAGATTTCAATTTCTCTGTAAAGTTTACTGGGTGACCTTGAGCTGCTCATCATCTCTCAATCTAATGTACTGCAAATGGCTGTTTTATATCTTCCACCTATGTATACCTAGTTTCTGATACTTCTTGTGCCTTCTAATCCCATCACCTTTATGGGTGGTGGTGGAATGAAATGTTCAAGATATCTTTTTCAAGATATGCCAGTATGTTTACACCTGCAGGAGGCTTCATCACACTTCCGTCTGGATGCTTTTGACATATATGCAGGGTACATACCATTTATAAATTCTCAAGGCCATGCATGCTAAAAAGCATTATCATTTGGAATGGCTATTTATTATATGGGTGTTTCTGTGTTCTGTACATATACATATTTACTTAGTTAAATAGAGGGAACACAGAGCTCACACCTTGTGCAAGGTATTAGCCAGAAAAAGTTCAGAATTGATATATAGTATCCAGCTTTCTGCTATAATTTTATTCTTCTTCTGTATTATTGTAATAAAATAAAATAAAATAAAATAAAATAAAATAAAATAATAATAATAATAATAATAATACACCAGTCAATGTTTTTTATGCTCTTTGATTGTGTTTAATATTTTCTGATCTTTTGATTACAATAGTAATACTGTAACAGATAAAACGAAGTCCCACCAGGACCGCATCAGCTGCAAAGCCTATGACATCACCAGCTTTTCCTTCCTTTTCCCCCTACAGTTTCTGGCCGAATGAACTCTTCCTGGGTCCCCTCGGAAAACCCTTTTTTTCTCTCTCTCTCTCTCTCCTTGCCTTTTCTCTCCCCCGCCTTTTGGGAGAGAATGGATTCTCCTGCTCTTCCCTTCCCTCTGATTGGTCGAGGTGCGGAGGAAGCCGGCGCTCTCATTGGGCGCCCGCGGAAGCCTAGGGACGGGAGGGG